AGAAAAAGCATTTGACAAAATCCAGCATCCGTTCTTGATAAAGACCTTTGAACACCTAGGCATGGAAGGAACATTTCTCAAAACAGCAAGAGCCGTCTATGATAAACCCACAGCCAGCATTTTGCTCAATGGGCAGAAGTTGGAAGGATTTCCCCTGAGAACAGGAAGAGACAAGGACGCCTACCCTCACCCCTCCTTTTCAACACAGTGCTGGAAGTCCTAGCCAGAGCAATCCGGCAAGAGAAGGAAATCAGAGGTATCCAGATAAGAAAAGAGGAAGTTAAGCTATCCCTCTTTGTGAACGATATGATTCGATATTTTGAAAACCCAAGAGAGTCTGTCAAAAGCCTCCTTGCCCTGATAAACGACTTTGTTAAGGTTTTGGGGTATAAAATCAACATGCAAAAGGCAATTGCATTTCTGTACACCAGCAACAAGCAGGCAGAAAACCAAATAAAAAGCACAATTCCATTCACAATAGACACACACACACACACACACACACACACACACACACACACACACAAATGAAATACCTTGGCATCCACCTAACCAGAGAAGTGAAAGATCTTCACAATAAGAACTACAAAACACTGCTCAAAGAAACCAATGATGACACAAACAAATGGAAAAACACTCCCTGCTCATGGATTGGAAGAAGCAAGATGTCAAGATGTCCATCCTACCCAAGGCAATCTACAGATTGAATGCAATACCCACCAAATTACCAACATAATTTTTCTCAGATGCAGAAACAACAATACAGAAATTCATATGAAAACAGAAAAGAGCACAAATAGCCAAAAACAATCCTCAGCAAAAGGAACAAAGCAGGAGGTATCACACTTCCAGACTTTAAACTTCATTACAAGTCTACAGTAACTAAAACAGCTGGTACTGGTACAAGAATAGACACATAGACCAATGGAACAGGACAGAGATCCCAGAAACCAAAACGTGGTCTCTCAACCAATTCATCTTTGACAAAGCCACCAATAACAATCACTGGGGAAAGGAGACCATATTTAGCAAATGGTGCTGGGAAAACTGGTTGACCATATGTAGAACAAAGTTCGCCCCTACCAATCACCATATACAAAAATCCACTCAAAATGGATCAAACGCTTGCATGTGAAATCTCAAACTATAGGAATCCTAGATGAAAATAAAAGAAACACCCTTATGCACATTGGAGTAGGCAAAGAATTCTTGATCAAGTTCCTAAAAGCAAAAGACATAAAAACTAAGATAGGCAAGTGGGACCCCATCAAACTGAAAATCTTTTGCACGGAAACAACAACAACAACAACAACATTAAGAGAGTAATGAGACAACCCACAGAATGGGAGAAAACATTTGCAAATTATGCATCTGGCAAAGCCCTGATATCCAAAATCTATAAGGAGCTCAAACAAAGTGACAGGAAAAAAACAACCCCATTAAAAAGTGGGCAAAGGACATGAACAGACACTTCTCAAAAGATGACATACAAGCAGCCACAGACACGTGAAAAAATGCTCAGCCTTGCTAATCATTAGAGAAATGCAAATCAAAACTACAATGAGATACCACTTAACTCCAGTAAGGATGGTTGTTATTAATAAGTCAACAAACAACACATACTGGCACATGAGTGGTGAAAAGAGAACACTTCTCCACACTCACTGGGAATGCAAACCAGTTCAACCTCTAGGGAAAGCAGTGTGGTGGTTCCTTAAAGAACTACAAATTGACCTTCCATGTGATCCAGCAATCCTCCTCTTGGGATATACCTGGAGGAACATAAACCCTTCTACCAAAACGATACCTGCATGCGCATGTTTATTGTTGCACTATTCACAATAGCTAAAATATGGAAACCAGCCCTACTGCCCAACAAAAGTGGACTGGATAAAGAAAATGTGGTACATATACATGATGGAGTATTACACAGCCATAAAGAAGAACAAAATCAAGGACTTCGCAGCAAATTGGACGGAGTTGGAGACCATCATGCTAAGTGATCTAATATAGAAACAAAAAAACCTCTGAACATCGCCTGCTCTCTCACTCATAAGTAGGCCCTGAACAATAATCACATGAACACAAAGGAGAGATCTGCAGTTGCTGGGCACTGCGAGAGGAGGGAAGGAGGGACAAATATAGGAGGTACATGATAACATAAAGGGTGCCAGGTCCACTACCAGGGGAAGGAGGGCCAGCTGGAAGCCCAGACTTCACCTGCATGCAGCCTACCTCCGTAGTTAATCCTCACTTGAATCCCACATCTCTGTAATAAAATAAAATTTAAAAAGAACTCTTCATGAAAAGAGCCATTATTCCACAGTATTTAAAAGGCCACTTTAGTTTTTAATACTTAACATGAGGTAGTGTTAAACAGTCACGAAACTTACCTTAATAACTTATCCTTAAGTATTCAGTCACCACTTAATATCACTATCTCCCCTCCCCCTCCCCCAAAAAAAGATGCAGAAAAAATAACGAATGCAGAGTTAATCTCAAACTCATTGTAAATCACGAGCTTGGATCTTGACACTTGGTCTTTTGGCTTTTGGACTTCGTGCCTATTGTCTCAACACACCTGTGTGTGTTGTTCCCTGATTGTCACAGCCGTGTCCTAGAGCCACAAAAATTCTATTTTCTTTCTAAGCTCTTGGAGACCTTAGAGGGGAAGCCTCTCTTTGATTTTTCTGGACGTTGGATCGGCAAAAGGCTCTTCAGAGTTTACTATCCCATCTCCTAGGCAGAAGGGAAAAGTGGTGACAGACAGGTACAAGCACGTGCAGGCTGCGGACACCATGAAACTTACAAGGAAGGAGTGACTTTCTATTATATCTGAGGGAGAGACATTCCTTCTGTCAAGGGGAGTCTTGAGAGGTAGAAGCATTTAAATACAATCGCACTCTCTACATGGTTCCCTTAGTAACGCCTTTAACTCAGGGTCAGATACAAACTGTCTCACAACTGCTTTATAAAAGAGCTTTTATGTTTTGTTGTAGAACAGCTATCTTGAAAATAGCTTTGGGGCCCATAGCTAGGCAGGGTTTTCAACTGGCACCTAAAGATTCCCTCACTAGAAGCACTCGGGAGCAGGACCACCCCGATATGTTCTCAGCCCTCATGCTGTGAGTGAGCTGCAGCCCCGGCCAGGGCAAATCAACACCACGCCCCTGGAAGGAGTCACACATTCATCTTCTGCTTTTTGCAAGGGAGGACACCTTTCAGCAAATCAAATGGCAGCGTTGCATTTCATCTTGTTTGTAAATTTTAATTGTGTTGTGTTTTGTTTTGTTTTAAAACAAATTTGGATTCTTCTGATCAGATTTCCAAGGCTGGGCAGGGGGAGCCCTTAAAATGACTCAATCTGTAAAAATAAGTTAAGACTATTTTCAGCTTTAAAAAAGGATCATCGCAATATGGAACTAACCAAATTTGGAGCCGGAGTGGATGTGCAATCTGAATCAGCGCGGCATCCTTTCTTTCCGCGGCTTCAAGACAAATGGTCATTCTGCCACCGCCTAGTACTGCTGGGAAGGGACAGTCCCTCCTCTGTGGGGCAGGGGACTCTACGGTTGAGTGTCTCCATTCGCTTGGAAAGCCCTCCAGATGGCCAGTGCTGGCGCCTGCCATTTTCACCCCAAGTCCCCTCCTGTCCCTGGGAGTCAGTGAGCACCCTCCTCCCAGGACAGCCAGGCAGAATCTTGCACACAGCCTTCACGGCTCCCTGGGTATCTTCTCAGGCTAAGCGGAACGGCCTCCCCGCGGGGTCTCCCCTTCCAGGCGTGCCACGGATGGAGCCACTTCAGACTGTCTCCAGCACTGAACACAGCGCTCCCCAGGAGGTCCCGTCAGTGCCAGGGCCAGAGCAAGCGGATGCACCTGGTCGGAGGCCTTCAAGTTCCGGCCTGCCTCTGCCACTCAGCGTGAACTGGGGAAAGTCGACACCTCTGTGTCTTGATTGGCTCCTCACCTCTCAGGGTTACTATTAATAAGCCAAAGTAAGTTACCAGATAAGAACATGTTTAAAACACCTCGTGCGATGACTGACACACGCGGATACGCTCACTAACTGGCTACTGCAGAAGTCGCCCCTTATCTGCAAAGGACACGTTCCAAGACCCCCAGTGGATACCCAAAACCTCAGATAATACCGAACCCTCCATACACTATGCTCTTCTGTCTACATTCATGCCTATAACAAAGTTTCATTTATAAATTAGGCATAATAAGAGATTAAAATCACTAACCAGTAATAAAATGGAACAGTTAAAACAATATACTGTAATTCAAGTTAGGTGAATGTGGTCTCTCTCTCCCTCCCTCTCTCTTTCTCAAAATACCTTATTGCACTGTGCTCACTCTTCTTGTGATCTGTCCGTCTGATCACCAAGATTGCCACTGACGTGACAAATGGGCAGGCGGCACAGACAGTGTGAATCCGCTGGGCAAAAAAAGGACGACTCATGTCCCCAGACAGATGAAGAGGGACAGCATGTGATTTCATCACGCAACTCAGAATGTTTGTTACGGGAATTTTCCATTCAGTGCATTTCCGGAACCGTGGGGAACGGACACCACAAAAGCGAAACGACAGATAAGGGGGGACTGCTATAATAGTAATGCCAACTGGAACCACAAAACCGAGACCTCAGGAAAGCCCACGGCCACTTTCACCGAAGAGATCGGGTGGGCCCCGGGTCTGGTGGTCGATCCGACAGGCTAAGTTCAGTATTATCTCTGCAATTCATTGACCCACTCATTAAACGACCATTCGCTGAGCATGTGCTAATGGTGCTCAAGAGACCAGTAAGATTGCAGGAGGGACAGGTGCCCCCGTGTGAAGTCCAGCTCAGGTGGCAGGGACCGCCAGAGCCCCAGGCGGGGCTACAGCAGCATGGAGGGCCCCGAGGCTGAGAGGAGCTTCCAAGTGGAGATGCCACGGTGGGGCCCCAAACCAAACCAAACCAAACCAAAGAACAGTCACTGCTCCCATCACTGACCTCACATCAAGACCTGGTTGAGCAGGCTGCATGCCTGGAGTCCAGAACGTAGGTCCATCCGGGCTCATGCTTGCCACTGTCTCCCCTGCCAGCTCAAGGAGAATTCCAGAGAGGGAGCACGGAGACTGGCTGGGAGCCACCCGGCACCCTGCCCAGCCCGGGGTCCTTGCATCTTCCCAGCTTGGACTGGCATGCCTGCGGCACAGAATTCTGAACCACAGGCAGGTGTCTTTGGGATAAATTTAGAGCCCCCTGCTTCTTCTGCCCACTTGTAACTTCACTTTTCCCCAAGCTGCCTTTGCCTGGAAAAGCTTCCCTAAAAGAAACATGAAGCCTCTTCTCTTTCCCTTGCAAATAAAGAAATCTCCTTTGAGCCCATCTGCTCTGGAGAGCCATCCAGATACGCGGTCGCGGCTCCCCTCAGACAGGCCACAGGGCCAGCATCACAGACCCCCAGGTGTTCCCCTAGCCCTGCAGACGGACATCGCATCCTGCCTGTCTGTTCTGAAGAAGCTAGGGAGATAAGGCAGGAAAGGTTGGTGCAGCTCAGTATTAAGGACTAAAGGGTTTGAAGGGCACCCGTCTTGCCCCCGTAGCTACAATGACTGGTCAGGGCAGGGGGGAGACAAGGAAGGACGGAGCAGAAGGATCTGCCTGGAGCCAGGAGGCCTGGGTTCACAACATCCCTCCTCCATCAGCCATCAGCAGCATGTGACTTTGGACCAGGCGGTCTACCTTCAGGTGCCTCGTCCTTCTCATCTGAGCAGCCAGGAGGCCGGCCAAGAAGAGGTGCAGACAAGCCTTCCTTTCCTGTCACCTGAGATTTGAACAGATCCCTTTTGCCTGCGGCCAGGATGATTGCTCCCGCCCCAAGCTCCTTGGGTCCTCTCCCGGCAAGAGCCAGGCAAGCACAAAGTGAACGCTCTCGGTCTATAAGTAGTTCCTGCTGTTGCGGATAAAATTAAATGGCATGGCTATTTTGGTTGGAAAAATCAGGTAAAAAAACTGCTGAAAAATAAACTCTCTGTTAAATGCCATGCTCCCCTCCCCCATCACGTTTTTTTTTATGCCCATTTGGTATTTGTTTTTAATTCTGGCTGATTGTCAATTTGAAAACCTGATGCATAGAGTGGCTTGCTATTCCGGAGGCGTTATTTTAAGATGAAACAATGTAAATTCTGACTTTGGATGGCAGATGGCTGGCAGTTCACTGTTTGGCAAACCAACTGGTATGGTATGTTGGAAATTCAGAGCAGCAGGAATGCGGCTCAATTGGAAACCACCACAGATGCTTGGAGGGCGCGGGGGAGGGGCACAAGCTGGTCAGGAAATTAAGAACAGGGCTCCAGCTCGGAGGGGAAAAAAGATGATAATTAGCTAAAAGTTTGCTTCTTCTAGTCTCGACTTTTTCTTTTTTCTTTTCTTTTTTTTCTTGGTTGCTTCTTAGAAAACCAGGAAGGCCCTTAGAAGTCGGCACAGGGAAAAGCTTCTAATTTTGCTTCCTGTCTGTTTGGCAAAGCTGTCTCCACGAGGAATTCAGAGGTGAGGGAAAAAAGCAGATAAAGACAATCTCACACATGTTATTCAACTGAGAGGCTCAAACGGCACTGGAAAATAAGGAACCTGACTCCTGCCTGATTTTTAAGACAGGATCAACTAATGATATTTCAGGGAGGAAGAATTCATGGTTTGGGAAAGACCTACCCACACGGAATCGATCACACCAGTGTTTCAGCATCCGGGGACTTCCCCAAAACAGAATTGGAGAGTGTGTCTACTGTGCATTTCGAGCATAGCCCAGAGGGTGCCCATTGGTGTTTCATAACCATGGTGGAGGGACCAAACTCCACCCAGATTCACCCATCCATTAAGGTCTATTCAAAGTCAATGAAGACACAGGGAGTACTTTTAGAGAAGGTCACTTACGCTGCAAACCTCGAATTGTCGAACTCTCGTTGAGTGGAGTGTCAAAACAACTCGTGAGAACAAGAACTCTCGATGTGTTCTGCTGTGTGAGAATTGAGCTATTTTTCATGTCCTCCAGCTTCTGACTATGGCCAGAAGGTAAGAGGGAAGTTTCTGCTCCACAATGCTCTTCCTCGGGCACTGAAAGTGAGCACGAGACAGAATGGCATGGTGTGATGGAGACCTGCCGGGGACAATTCTGAACTGTGACAACAGTATCTCCCAAACTGCTCCTGCATCGAGGGTCCTAGGACACAGGCGAGGCCTGAGGAGCTTGCTTGGACGATCCTGAGAGGCCGCGAAAATCCCACTCGGGGTGTCCACGAATTACGATCTGACTAAACTCAAAGCACCACAGTCCCAGTGACTGAATAACTCACACCGGCAGGCACGATCCAGTCAGGTCACTATATTGCAATCAGGTGTTTTGGCCAGAACACTGAGCTAATTAAAATTCCAATTCATAGCCTAATTGCTTATCTGGACCTTGGGTAATGAGGGAAGCGTCTCTGGGTTTTAAAAAAATAATACAACTGTGTATGCGCCATTTCCCCAGCAGAGCACCATGAAGAAGTCTGCAGAAAGAGACCCCTTTGCTTTGCTCCCGCCTCAGACCCTCACTTAAGTGAATAAGTGTGTGTTCTTCCTTCCAGCAAACGGTTAGCATCTACCAAGTACGAAGTGAATCCTGCCCTCGAGAACTTTACAGTCAAGAGGAAAATTACACACAGTCACGGAACAGGAAAGAGCACATAGGGTCTGGAGTAAAGGTGTAAATCTAGTTCCTCAAGGAGGTGGTATGTCCTTGGCACACTGGTACCTTGGGAAGGAAGGTCCCGCCCACTCCGACAGTTTTCTCCCACAACTAGCTGGCTCCGTGGGTCACAACAGGGACGGTGTCTCCAGTCTTCCCCTCTTGTGGCCCAGAGAAGCACAGCAGACAGACAGACAGAGCCATAACAGGTTTCCCAAGAACCTGGTTTAAGAGCATGAGAAGGAACGGGATGAGGATGGCTTTCCCAGCTTGAAAACGAATGAGGAACCTCTGGGCTTCGAATACAGAAGGAAAGACAAAGGTGTCCGAGGGGGAGGACAGAAGTGGCAGGCGAGTGGACATTTCTGGGGGAAGGTGCTTTTCTTGCTTGATCACCAGCCACCCAATGTGAGCCACACCGAGGAAGAGGCTGGCGAGGGTCCCTGAATACATTTCTTGTGAGTGCTCTTAACACCAAACGGATCAAAAATTTTTTTCTCCAAGATGCTGCTGCATAAACAGCATGTCCTTCTGTTGTTTCACAAATGACATTTAAGCAGCTGAGTGTATCGGGGTGGGAGGCAGGGGCAGGAACAAGAGCCCAAGAGCCGGGGGCCAGGAGAAGAAAGGAAATGAGGGGCGTGCGGGGTGGTGCAGGGAGTTGTGTCTAAAAACGGGCGAGGAGGAAAAAGGCAGGGAGAGAGGCCCAGAGAGAAACAAGGCCCGGCAGGCACGAGCTTGATTCTTCAGTCTCTACGGCAACTTTTGCAGAAGGGTCCCCATCTGAGACCACCCTCCCGCGGGGGAAAATGGTGGAGGAAGAAGGTGAAGGGACCGCTCTGCGGACTCTAGACTCTAGGGGGGCTGCTTGAAGGAAACAGAGTTGAGGCATGCAAAGCTCGGCCAAGTCCTCCACCCTCAGCATCCCCCCACACACCACCCACACCATCCACCTTGTTAAAGATCCAGGCCCACATTTTGGGGCTGGGTCCTTTTGTTTCTGGTGTGACTGTGAGTGGGAAGTTCCGATTAGCTGCCGTGGCTGTAGCTAAACTTGTATCAAGAAACGTCCTCAGCCGGGCTTGGTGGCTCAGCCTCTAACCCCGCGCCTTTGGGAGGCTGAGGTGAGTGGATTGCCTGAGCCCGCGGGTTCGAGACCCACCTGGGCGGAGACTTCATCTCTACAATAAATCAAAAAATCAGCCGGGCGTGGTTGTGCGCGCCTGTAGTTCCGGCTACTTAGAAGGCTGAGGCGGAAGGATCGCCGGAGCCCAGCAGGTCGAGGCTGAGGTGGCCGGGAGCGGCCACTGCACTCCAGTCTGGGCAACAGAGTGAGACTCCAACTCAGAAAAAAAAAAAAGAACGTTCTCAGCAATGAGGAGCAGAAAGGGGGCAGCTCCACTCATGAGGGGTAGGGGTAGAGAGACAATATCATGAAGTATCTCTGCTTGGCAAAAGGCCCATTTTCATTGGCAGGATGGTGTCCCGTGAAGGGGCAGTTGTTTTTTAGCATCTACATTGTGGCAGGGACTACATATATATTATTACATTAATCCTGTTGCAACGCAGGGAATTTTTTAGTATCCATTTTACAGGTAAGAAAACAGAGGCTCAGAGAGGCTAACTAACGTGCCAAATTCTCATAGCAAGTTAGGGCAAGGCTGGACTGGGAACCCAGAACTCTCTCACTCCCAGGTTCAAGACTTTTCCTCTGCTTCCTGGGGCAAAAGGTGCAAACAGAATGAACAATGATAGGAGAGGAGCAATGAGAGAGAGAAATCACACAGCTCATGTGAAAGAAACTGTTTACCTTTTCAGAAAATGACAGGGGAGATGATGAAAGTTAAAAGAAAAAAAAAAAGCAACCAAACCAAACCAAAAAAAACCATATGGCTTCGCCTTGAAGGATGACAGGGCAATATTTAGAAGTTAACATTTTAAAACAGATAAGTTAGGGAGACGTTTCTTTTCATTTTCACATTACAAAGTCATATTTACACAACAAAGTGGTTTTCTTAGGAGTCACTTTAAGTCAGTGGCTTCCCAGGTACATTTAATTAAGGTAAGAGCCAAATAAAAGTTTCTTACTCATAAGTTTTGTCTGTCTGTTTTGTTCTCGTTTTGAGGAAGACAGAGGGGTCCCTGGGAAGGCCAGGCATAAGAGTCCTCAGAGGTCTCCAGTGTATGAGGGGGAATCCAAAAAACCTAGAATTATCTCTTGGAGGGCGGGCGCCGTGTAGTCCAGGCTGTCCCCACCAGCTAAGTGTTCTAGGACCCCACCAGCAGCAGTGTGCCAGCTAAATGCTGGGAAGGGCTGTGCTTGGCTCTGGTGAAGTTATTTTTGGAGAGTCTTTCAACGCGTGTGCCCATTTCATGAGCACCCCTGCCCACACCGCACTGCGTCTTCAGCAGTTTTTAACCAAACACGGCATGACCCCCAC